GTCAGTAGTCTTGAGATTGACCAGATCCGTCAGATTCCCATTTAGGAGGGAGGTTCGGACGGAATGAGGTTGAGACTTACATCTTCGGGTGAATTCTCTACGTCCTCGGCCTGGGGAGATGTGCGGCTGGGTAACCGGCCTAACCTCCTCTTCGGGGCCATCTAGACCGACCTTCTCAACCCGACTTCTGTCTTTTTGTGGCGCCTCCTATTACTGCGCATACCCATTGACACTGTGATGCAGGTGAGAGGGTTCTCATTTTCCTCCCGTTGTCATTGTTGTGCGGAGACCGAAATTTTTGAGAATGAGACTTTTACCCATCTTTTTCTTGAGAGTGAGACTGTGAGGAGAGTGTGGGAGCACTATTCCAGATATACATATATACCCCTACCCACTACAGATAGTTTCTTTGAGCTCCTGAGTTTTTTCTCTCACCGCACACACAGTAGGCACGTGGGCTTCCTTATTCCTTGTCTGATCATGTGGTCCACCTGGGCAGAAAGGAATAACGCGAAGCATAAGGATATTACATTTTCTTGCTCTCACATTATTTTGCAGGTTGACAGACACCTCTCCCTCCTCACCGCACTGGGCAGACTCACAACGAGAGATTGGACAGGTTGCACACTGCCTCATCGCTTGAGGCCACCACCCCCTCCACCTGTCCGGCACCCGCGTCCCAGGATTGTTGTTTGGCTGAAACCCAAGCCTCCTTGTGTTAAGCGAAACACTGATGGCGCATTCGACAGACATACCAGAGCTGCTGGAGGAGGGGGCCTAGTTAAGGACCATGGTGGGGCACTCATCACCGCCTTCCATGGCCCACTTCGGGCCTTCTCGAGCTATGATGCAGAGATTCAGGCGCTTCAGATCGGTCTTCAGATTGCCGCCTCGATCTCCTCCCACATATGGATAAAAATGGATGCTGCAGCTGTCATCACACTTTTGACATCTGGCCACCAGGGCTCATGGCAGATCCATCATCCACTTATGCGCATCAGAGACATCCTCCGCTCGATCCACTACCAGGTCTCGCACATATTCCGGGAGGGGGACCGCCCCGCTGATTTTCTTGCTAGCATCGGGGCTTCTATACCCCAGAGACGCACCCTCCACCCTGAGGACATCCCCCTCCTGCTTCGGACCCTCATTAGGATGTACCAACTGGAGTACCCATCCTTCTGATTCGGACGACCGCCTTCACTTGACCCTGCCTAGACTTGATGTTTTGGACTTTACACCTGCCCCCCCCCCCCCCNNNNCCCATGGCCAGACCGTCTTCTCATGAGGATTTGCTTTTGGATTCACATTCGACATTTTTCGACTCTTGTACTCTTTTTTTTTACGATATTTTTATGTATTTTCAACATTCATGTAGAACTTTAACTTATTAGCCCCACCCTCGGGTGCGTTTCATTAATAACAAAAATAAATGTACTTAGATGTTTTCACTTGTGTTGTCAATCTAATTGTGTTGTCCACCTCATATACCTTGGATATGTATTATTTTTCTTTAAATTATGAGCCCGCAGGCTCGAGTGTACTTTCGTCGGGTTATACGAGCTGCTGCTTTCTTCCTTCCTTCCCACTTCAGTTTTTCGCCTCTCTTTCCCCCGCGACTTAAACCGCCTGCGGTCCCTCCCTCCGTCTTTCTTAGACTCTCTTCGGATTGCCTAGGTAATTTTCGATCTATTTCTCTCTTCGATTGTGCTGATTTCTACTTTGTAGGGTTTCGGAAATTCATGTCAAATTTACATCTCTTGCTTTGTCGATTAATTTCTTGCGGCAAGCTTTCATAGTTTTCTTCACGCCAAAGCCAATAATCCGTAATTATAATAACTTGCACTACGATTGGGTTTCAGGAACCCCTTGAGAAATTTACCGGTCATGATTCTTTCGCCGGTATTTGGATGCCCATTCGTTTTCCAAATATTTTCTTTTATTTTCTGTAAGCTTGTTCGCCCCTGTGATGTGAAATTTCTTGTGTCTTTTGATAATTATGTCCCAGTTCTTTTTTAAAAAAACTTCTGTTAAGGGCTTTTTCTTCTCTGTGATTTTAGCCATGATCCGATGTGATATGCGAGTATAATAATTACTTGCGCTTTATCATTTTCTTGTTAGATTTGTCAGAATTTTTATTGTTATTTATCCTGAATGATGGGTTCTGTTGGCTTCCAGATTCCATTCTGAGATCAAATTTGATGTTAAGCCAGTGGTTTCAAACTTGAATTGCATGAGGTTCTGCGTTTGAACCATTTGTTGATAACTTGTAATCAAATTTTTTAGGAGAACGACGGGCATATTGTTGGGCTGCTTCCTTCTTGAAAATGACACCAAAAGGCTTAATTTATAGTTTTGTTGCGAAAGGGACTGTGGTTTTGGCAGAGCACACTCCTTACTCAGGAAACTTCAGCACAATTGCCGTCCAGTGCCTGCAGAAGCTTCCTTCTAGCAGCAGCAAGTACACATACTCCTGTGACGGCCACACTTTCAGTTTTCTCCTTGACGGTGGATTTGGTACTTAACTTTCCTATGTGTGTGTTTACCCCTTTTCTCTAGTTTTATGGTGACGTCGAATTCTTGTTTGGTGTATAGTTTTCCTTGTTGTTGCAGATGAATCAATGGGGAGAAGCGTTCCTTTTGTCTTTCTTGAAAGAGTGAAGGATGACTTTAAACAACATTATGGTGATAGCATCAAGAGTGATGGTCAGCATCCTCTTGCTGACGATGAAGATGAAGATGATGATTTATTTGAAGACCGATTTAGTATTGCATACAATCTTGATCGAGAATTCGGGTGTGTAAAATCATTTTTTGTTAGGGGAAATAACTGGCAACTTTAATTTTTATTCCCTTAGCATGACTCAGAACTTAATTTTGTGTTTGGTTTATTAGGCCAAAACTTAAAGAGCACATGCAGTACTGTATGAATCACCCAGAGGAAATGAATAAGCTATCCAAATTGAAGGCTCAAATAACAGAAGTCAAAGGAATAATGATGGACAACATTGAAAAGGTACACTCAGTGCAGTCTTCTTGTTATTGGAAGTGAATTATGCTATGCTGGGCCTGGAATTAAATATCCTGAAGGTCACCCAAATCACCAATTAACAAATTATCCTTTAAATCCCTGAGTTGTTTTTCTTACAAAACTGTACCATCAAGAGAGCTGTATTTGTAAAGTAGTCGCCAACCTCAAGAGGATTTGTAAAGTAGTTACAATGGTGAGCTACATTTTCTTTCTTTCTCTAATTAGACTAAACTTTGGGTAGTTTTTGTACATTATTCTGCCGAGTTATCATAAGTTTAGTGTCAATCTTAAGTTAGTCATTACACTCTTCCATTTACCATCTCTTGTTGGTTGCCTTTAGTTTTGTGAATGTTTGTAAAACTAGAGTACTAGGACATAGATAACTGAATCTGGGATCATCACAAAGAAAATTAGTGATATGTCTATGATTGAGGTATTAAATGTTCGTGCATATCTGTATTTACTCATGATCTGAGTAAATATAAAGGACACAGAACCCACAAGTATGGCTGACTCCACCTTTTTGTTGCATCTCAAAGGATAAGTATCAAGTCAGAAGATTTATCATCCTTTAATGGTTTGGGGTGCTGGCATTCTGGGGAGATTTCAATAAATTTTTACATGCCACTTGTATTTCTTATGGTTAAATAATTCTCGCCTGTTTGTTTTTTGGCCCCACTAAATGATTTTTACTTGTGGGTTCTGCTTATTTGAGAACTAATTTTCTTGCACAGATTTGAATTTAAAATTATTAAATTTTCTCGTCTTGACCTACTGAAGCCTCATTTACTGTCGTCTCTCTCGCTCTCTCTCCCTCAGCTCTTTCTCACACACAAAAGACACATAGCTTACACGCATTCCTGCAGTGCTTCCAAACCTACTCTACATTTATACCACTGCCGAAATATCAACCAGGGTAGTACTATTTTGCACGTATTCTGAATTTAGCTGTCAATGTATTAGTTATGGGTTGGATTGTCAGGCTCTAGGCACTCTCGGACCTTGGTCCAATAATCTTTGGGGGATGTTCTCAGTCGCTTTCCTCGAATTTATCAAGCTGTGATGGAAATTTTCATGATTATGGCTCACGTAGGTCGTAGTTTACTATAATGAAAGAAAGAAACCAGTGGGCAAGTGCCGATTATATATTTAGAAGTTGACTGTGATTGTGAGATTCTATTCTGATTGGAATAAAGACTAAAATAATTCAATGATACGTATATATAGCAAAAGAAATCAAGCGGGCAACTATCCAAATTACTGTGTTTTATATTTTCAATACATGTAGATCATATTTACGTCTGCCAATCCATATATTCCTTTTTCTAGTGTCTTCCAAACTGTTTGATAGTTATTTTCTGTATTTATTGAAAAAGTTGATCCACTAGATCATTAGCTGCTTATGGAATTTTGAATAATTATTTAGTGAAAAAATATTTCATCCTTGGTTGCATATTCTTTTATTTTGGCTAGCTCAGAATCATGGATCTTAATTTTTCAAATAAAATCTTTGGAACAGAATGATTCAGTCATTCCAACTGGTATCTTACGATACTATTATCTGCTTGAATAAGCACTTCAGAATTCTGTTGCTTTTTTAAAAGAGATCAGTGCTTCGTGGACAATGTTGTCAATGGCGGATGGCGGAAAATCTGGCGGCAGGCAAAAATCCGCCATAACAACCTCCAAAAATTTCGAAAGGCAGTTCGGCAGAAATCTGCCCGGGCCATGGCTGCCATCTGGTATCACTGTTCGAAAATACAGTTTTATGTTTGGACTTTCACCACAAATGGCCGAAATCTATTGGTTGATTGGAGAGCGTCATTTGCTGCCAATGTTCTCTTAAAATTTTACTGTTTGGGCATTTCTCGTTTGAAGGAAAACCTGTTGATGCACTATTAACTGTAGGTGATTCTTTGAGATACGAGAGAAGATTTCAGGAGACTGCTAGATTCTGAATGTTATAGAATTTCGCACCATTTGACATCTTTCCTCTTTCTCTCCCTTTTGCAAATTCTCACATGGATTATGCAAAATTGGTTTTGTATGCTGCACATCTATTTGAAGTGTAGTTTTGGATAAATAAACAGGTGAAGGTTAAGGCTACATCACCTGCGTACAAAGTGGACACAATATCACTTGTGTTCACGCCATACCCAGTTTAAACTTTTTAAATTAAACCATACCCAGTTTAAGCTTTTAATATTAATTTATGAACTCTATACCATATTTTCAAACCCTTTATTTTCATTCAGGTTTTGGATCGTGGCGAGAAGATTGAGTTGCTGGTAGATAAAACAGAAAATCTTCAGTTCCAGGTGAATAGCGTTAGAGATCGATTTATTGTTGATTCTTTATTTTGTTGTACTTTATTCATGAATAATTAGATTTTATGCTTGTAGGGTTTGCATACTCGTTACTCCTTAGGATTATATTCATTATTTATTTGTTTATTTTCCACAAGTTTATCAACGGGGGTCTGTTTCTGCCTAAAAAATCTCACCTGGATTTCCTGTTGTGTACTTACTGAAAACTTTGTCCAGGCTGACAGTTTTCAGAGACAAGGAAGGCAGCTTCGTCGGCAGATGTGGCTGCAAACTCTCCGCACAAGGCTGATGGTTGGAGGAGGCATTTTAATCTTAATCTGCCTCATCTGGTTGATGTTTGGTTAAGATTTAGTTAAGTTGGGGGTTTGTTTTATGGAAAATGTGATTGTTATCTTGGGAGTACACTGTGTTTCCGTTTCGTATGGGAAGTTGATGCTCAATGACATTTTGTCTGTAAATTTGTCGTTCATGACAATCACCATGATATGGTTCGCTGTATATTACTATGGAGTGCTAAGATTTTTTTACCCTTATTTTCTGTTCTAGTGATGATATCCAGGTGAGCCCATGTCAGTTTTGTATTTCATTAAGTTAAGCTTAGCGATTTGTGATCGTTGAATCATGTGTCGCCGCAATAGCAAGATTTTGAATGCAGCAGTAATAGTAGTTGAAGTTGTACTGGTGGTAAGCAAGTGTGAGCTGGAAAATACAAATTGTTTTTCAAAGAGCCACCAATTGCCATTTTTATCTGGACAAAGGAAGAATGGAGAATCCATATTGATTTTCAAAATAAGGGCATGGAGAGTACATGTTCAATAAATGAAACCATTTCTCGATTTTCGCAGGAGAATACATGTTCATGCAAGTCGTTTCTTTACAATGCAACATAAACTAGTTTAGGGAAATGACTACATATACATAATAAATGTAGGTGTACATAACACTCAAATGGAGTGCGGTCTACTTGATTTTTTATTTTTGGTGGGTCCCACTCAATTTGAGTGTTATGTACACTCCTATTACAATATTATGTACTTATAGAATTACTCATAGCTTAAAGTCACAACACAATTGTGCTCAATTTTTGTTTTAGTTAGTAAGATTCCAAATAATGCATTATGCTAAAAAAAACCTGTCATACATTATGTAAAAATCTTGGAGAAGAAATTTTTATGAGTTTTTACTTTTTTTTTTTCAAACATCAAACTTCGATAAACTTCTCGAAAAATACAAAGTTCGGTAACCAATGGATTACAACCAGATTCTTTCGAAAACAACTTCGAAAGAGACCCAAAAGGAGAACATCTAACAAGAGTTTCCCTAGAAAAACTACCACAAAGGAGAACATCTAACAAGAGTTTCCCTAGAACTACAACGGCCCAAAGAACCACTAAGCAAAACACACAACAAAAAACACTAAAGCTACAAACAACTAAACAAGAAAGAACAAAAAAACAAACAATAATACTCAAGCCCAACACATCTTCAACCAACACACAAATAGCAGAATCAAACAAGGCTCATGCACTGAGGGATGTTTGTCCCATTTTTGTTGCGTTTTTCCTTGTTATTTTTCATTTCTTTTTCCCCCATTTTAGGTCTTTTAGATGGTTTTTGGTTTGTTTTGTAGGTTATTCTACGTTTTGTTCTATTTCGGTTTTCTTTGTGTTTTCCGTTTTTTTTTTTTCGATTTTTCTTCGTTTTTGGTGTGCAGGTTGGAAGTCTCGGGATGATAAATGTGCCGGGTGAACATGATTAAATAGAGCATTTCGTTGGAAATACATTGAAAAAAGCGGATTCGAATTTCGTTGGGAATACATTTCGTTGGGAAGTCTCAGTCGATGTTGTTTTACATGCCGTTTTGGCGCCGTATGTGGGAATTCGTTCAAAAGGCCTTCAAAAATTACTGTGTTGGGTATACTGTAAAAGCTCAGATTTCAATTTCTAACAATATCATTTTTAATGTGAATTCACGTTTTAGTTAAGTGCATGTTTGAAATTAATTTTTTTATGCGAACATTTCTCTTCTATTTTACACAGTAGATATTACAATTTCGGTCTAGAACAGTAAGATCATATTATCGGTTCATTGTGAAATATAAATAATGGTTCACAATCTAGATGGGAATTGAACTCCCTGTCATGAAAGACTAGTGTGATCTTGGAATTGGTTGACCTTACACTAATGGATTACACTAGTAAATTTCGAATATATGAACGACCCACATGAGGATAAGATTATTTTATTCTGACAAAATATATAATCTAAACCTCATTATTTATTTCGTATTCCTAACACGTAAGACAATGTTAGGGCATTTGTAATTGGCACTTACATATTTGATTTATCAAGGGTGAGACATATTCTGATAGGTTGACATACTCGATATTTTGGTAAGTAATAGTGGCTGCATGATGTGATGTCACTATTGTTTACTGTTTGTCCCATTTTTGTGGTCATTTTCGTGTATATTTTGTGTGTTGTTCCCCCCCCCTCCCCCCCGTTTTAGGTCCTTTCTTAGGTATTTTCGGTCTTTTTAGTTGTTTCTTGTGCTTTAGTATTGTTTAGTTGTGGTTAGTATTTCTTTGGTTTTTCTTCCTATTTTCTCGTGTTTTTGTGTTTGTTCGGTGGTGATGATTTCAGGTTTCAGATGATAGCGGTACTCGGTTCCGGTTCCTAAGAGTTCCAGGCTAGTTCGCGGAGATTGAGTGTATAGCTCAGGCAGTACCCGAGGAATGCTAGACGAGAGCTCACGAGTCCAGAACTTTGAAATTTTAAAAGCTGCCCAGGCCTTAGTGCCGCTAAGGCCAACCCAGATAGCGGCGTTCCTCAGCATAGCGAGGGGCAGAAGCTCGGCCATCTTCACCCATAGCGCCGCTAACCCCTTAGCGCCGCTATGACCAGTTAAATAAGCGGCGCTGCATGAGAAAGCGAGGGGCAGAGGATCGGGGTTCTCCAACCTTAGCGGCGCTAACCTCTTAGCACCGCTAACCCCTATTTTGTAACAGTCGCGGTTTTATTGGAATTTTGATTGGGGAATGATAAAGGATCGAGCTAGGGCATAATTTCTTCATTTCAGACTTCGTTTTTCACAGTTTTTCACTTCCAAAACATATTTTTCTCTTGGTTTTAGCTTGGATTGAATTGTGGAGAGTAAAAACTCATTTTCTAGCTTTTGGATTTGGATTTCTCGTTGCTTTCTCGACATTGGATTTATATTAATCGTAACCACTTCTTTTCATTTGTGTGTGATGATGATTTCTTGGGTTGATATGAATGTTTATGTTGGAATAGTCATGAGTAGCTAATTCAATAGATAGGGTTAGGGGATAATTGTTCCGGTTCAATTTCGTTTGTGTGAATGTTAATTGCTCAATCTTGACAAGTTATGTTAAACCTAGGGTTGAATGCTTGATCACCATTTTAACCTACTTAATCGATATTAGAGCCGAAAGGGGAGAAATTGATCGATCTCGGCTTGTTTATAATAGACTTGTTCGGAAGCGTATAGTCTATATGTTAATGGATTCGATAATTGTTCATTTATGTTTATTCTCTTGTTATGTGAGTTATTGAGAATGAATCTCTAAATGAATTGGTTGTCGCTTGTCCGTTAGCTGAGTAGTTAATTGTCCGTTAAATGCATTAAGAACTGGAAACGATTGTCCCCGACACCCTAGTCCATCTATACCATTTGAATTTGTGTTTGAGCTGTGAGTTTGGAATTGATTGCCTTGCTTTTACAATTACTTGCTTCTACAATTAGTAGTTGATACATCAAAACCAAATCAGTCTGAATAGAGTGTTAGGATTATTATTTTTTTTTTTTGTGATTGAATATTCGTACAAAATTATCCGGCCAACCTTCCTTGAGAGACGACTCGGTGTTTGAATCTTTTGATTCTACTCCGGTACTTGCTTCTACGATTAGTAGTTGATAAATCAAAACCAAATCAGTCTGAATAGAGTGTTAGGATTATTATTTTTTTTTTGTGATTGAATATTCGTACAAAATTATCCGGCCAACATTCCTTGAGAGACGACTCGGTGCTTGAATCTTTTGATTTTACTCCGGTAAAAATACTTACAACAAATTGGCGCCGTTGCCGGGGAAGGTTTATGATTTATTTTGTGCACCTATTCATTTTGTTTTTAGTGTTTCTCTTATTTCTTGTGATTTTTCTTGTTTCAGTGTTTCTCTTTATTTCTTTTGCTTAGTTTTATAGTTCTTGATTATCGATTGTTTAATTTAGTTTTTATTCTTTGTTTATCTGGTGCTCGTGACGGTTTCTTGTCTTTGTGTATGCGTACCAGGAGTGGTCATGTACTATCGCCTATCGACAAGCCGTTCAACGAGAGCCTGAGGGACCTACTGGAAGAGCTTACTCTCGAATCTCACGAAGGAGACGATCATTCCGCGAAATCGTCCGAAGGCAACAATTTCGACATGGGTGAAAAACAACAACAACCGCCTCGTAACACCCTCCGAACCTTAGCCCAGCCAGTTATCGGGCCAGTCACTTCATGCATTCATTTGCCGGATCCAGCACGAAATTATGAGCTGAAAATGATTCACTACAACCAGCTGCCGGCATTCCATGGGCTCCCAAGTGAAGGCCCGCTTAACTTTATCCGGGAATTTTACAATGTCCTCAATACCTTCCCTCTCAACGGGCTTAATGAGGATCAGTTGAAGATGAGGTGCTTTCCAGAGACATTGAAAGACCGGGCCAAGGCCTGGTTCATGACGCTTACACCGGCATCTCTAACTACCTGGACCGAAGTATACACGAAGTTTATTGGGAGGTACTACTCCCATCAAAAGACCCAGGAGCTCCGGTCACAGATCGTCTCATTTGCTCAACTACCAAGTGAACCTCTTCACGAAGCTTGGGAGAGGTTCAAGGATCTCCAGCGATAGTGCCCTCACCACAATCTTTCGCCGGGACTATTGATGAACTGTTTCTACGACTCCCTCAATCATAATTTGCAATATATGGTTGATAATGCTGCGGGGAGAGACATCGGTGCAAAGACGGCCGAAGAGATGTTTGAAATTTTTGAGACGATGAGTGCTAACTCATCTCAAAAGAACAATCGAGGAAAGAGGGTTGTGGTCAACGAGGTATCTTCTGCTCAAGACATGATGGCCCATCAAATAGCCGAACTCACAAAGCAAATGCGGCTAATGAATGCATGAGGAGGTCAGTCAGTGCAAACCATGGCGGTAGACACATGCGGGGCATGTGGAGTTCAGAGGCATAGATCCGAGGTGTGCCCATCAGCATTTGACCAGGAGTTTGGAGAACAGTATGCTGACATCAACGCCCTCCAAGGTTATCAG